GTGACAGCCCCGGGACGTCCCCTTGGCTGACTGGCTCAGAGATATTTTCCACCCTCGGGGTTGTGACGCACCTGCTGCTCCTGTCCCGGGGCGGGGGCAGGAGGCAGGAAGCCCTGAGCGGAGTGCAGGGTGCGGGGAGGGACCTGGGCCAGATTCCAGGAAACCAGGACGCAGGGAGGAACAGGCGGCCGGGACCCCGCATCCTGCACTCCTCTGTGCACCTGGCTGGCTGGGCCCTGGCGCTGCCCTGTCCACAGTCTCAGCCTCATGAGGGGAGGAAGTGACTGAGGGCGCTGCCCAGTGAGCAAGTGGACAGTCACAAACCCCCTCCGCTGTGTGACAGCAAACCAACGGGGTCCCCTCAGGACGAAGTTTCTTAGCAAATTCTGTGTCCCTTGGACCTTTTAAAAAATCTGCTTTGAGAATTTATTTTTGGACAGCACATTGGGAATCAGGGCCCTGGGAATCAGGGCACATTGAGAATCAGGGCACTGGGTTCCAGTCCTAACCCTGCCTCGGCCTTGCTGTGTGACCTTGGGCAGGCCCCACCCCTCTCTGAGTTTCACTCTGGGTCCCCTGGAGGATGGCGTCAGCACCTCTCCATCCTCTAGACCCCGACCAGCAGCTGCTGCCCTGACCACACAGCCTGGTGAGACAGAGGCCCGAGCCAAGACCCCCGAGCAGTGGCGTGGGATGGGGAAGGGACACAGAGACGGGAGAGTCACGGGCTGGTTAGCGGGGCCTCAGGGCCCTCAGAGACCGTGAGTCCTGTGCAGATGGAGAAGGTGGCCTCCCTCCAGGTCTCCTTCCTGATCTGTCCCTCAGAGCCACCACAGAGCATCCCCAGGTTTCGCTGGGTCCCCTGCCCTCCAGGTCCAGTGTGGAGGCAGGGCCGCCCGCCTCTGTCCCCAGGCCCTGTGCTCCTCAGTGGCCTGGGGGCTGCCCGGAGGGTGGCACCGCCTAGAGACTCAACACCTGTCGCATGGATGAGTAAGTGGTCACAGTGGGTGCACCAGGCGCTGGACAGAGGTGACAGAGGTGGCCTCTGGGGACTTGGGGGAAAGGCACATTTCCCTTCCCGGTCGCAGCAGAGTGGCTCCCTCCCATGTCCCAGCACCTGCATTTCTGCATTTCTGTGGGAGGGCTGAGGGGTGGCAGAGAGCAGGCTTCTGAAGTGACGAGGACCCAGGGTCCCAGGGGACCCCCGGAGCACCCAGCGGCCGCGGGCTCCTGTCCCCACCCTGCCTGTCCCTGGGCTGAACCGTCCCCAAAGTACACACAAGTCCTAACCCTCAGCCCCGAGTGTGGCCTCGTTTGGAAACGGTGTCTTTGCAGATGTGAGCGAGTTAGGACAGGGTCACCCTGATGAGGGGCCACCCTGGGACACCTTGACTGGACAGGGACAAGGCCATGTGACCGGAGCCACCAGGAACTGGGAAGAGACAAGGGGGGACTTCAGAAGGACCATAGACGCTGCCAATTTGACCTCAGCTTCTGGCCTCCGGAACTTTGCGAAATAAACGGTGGCTCTTGAGCGACACGCAGCTGGTGGCCGTCTGCAGGCCGAGGCAGCCCTGGGAGACGGCTCTGCTCCCACCCATGGGTGGAGGACCCGCAGGTCAGCTTCTCCCAGAACCTCAGGCTCCTCTTCGGCCGAGTGGAGACGCCGTTCCCCTCCGGAGCCCGGCGGCCTGGCTGTGAGCTGTGCAGGACCTGTCCTCGAAGGAGTTGACAGCAACGTCCTTCCTTCACTCGCCCACTGTTGGCCCCTCCCGGGTGCCAGGCGCTGTCCCCCTGCCTCCAGGGTGCCCGAGAGGCCACCAGTCCATCCCTGGCTTCCGTCCTGAGGCTGGAAGGCCCTGATGGAGAGGGTGCAGGCTTCTTGGCTGTGCACCCTCTTTGGTGGACGACAAGTAGGCACCTGCTGTGTGCAGAGCTCCAGGGAGAAGCTGGGGTGTGGCACTGCCCAGCACCCGCTCATGCGGCCACGCGTGCGCTCACTCAGGATGCAGAGAGGAGCGCCCGCAGGGTGGCCGGGCCAGCACCGCGTGGCCTCCAATCCACAGGCCGGCTGCTCCCGCGGTGGCTGTGAGCAAGCTCCTGTCCCAGGCCCCCTCCGGTGGCCCCTTGGCTCCAGAGCTGCTGTGCAAGCTGCCACCATCTTTACACGGCGTCCTTGTGTGCAGGGTCCCAGGTCCAGGTCCCCATTTTATAAGAACACAAGTCCCAGTGGACTGAAGGTCCACGTCACACCCTCTGCCCCCAACCATCCGGCTGTCACCCCCTTCCTGAGGCCATGAGATGGCAGCCCGGGGAGGTGACATTTCTTGCTGGGTCACCAACCCTCAGATCTGTCACCTGAGTGTGGCACTACATCAGGTGGAGGCCTGTCCCTGTCCCACTAGGCCAGGCCTGCTGTGTCCCCTGCTGGCCACCAACCCACACTGACCAGACCTCTAAGAAGCTTCTCTGGCCCTTGGGACAAGAGGGCCGCAGAGGCTGAGGGTCAGCACCGGTGTGAAACACAGGTGCCCAGGGAGCCGCGAGGCCTTCACCCTGCTGTGTGTGAGCGCGTCCCCCTGCTGCGGGGACAGCTGTCTGTCTAGACCCGTGGCAGACCTTGTGGGGCAGGCTGCCCGAGCCCACGGCTCACTGGGACCCCCGTGCTCCCTGAGCCTCCTCAGCATTTGCTGCCCTCCCCGGGGCCTGGCGCCACCCCCTCCCCAGGCTGGGCGGGTCGATGGCTGGCGGCCACCAGGCACAGAGGACATGGATTGTGCAAGAGCTGCTTTCCAGACCGCCCAGCTGCCAGCCTGCGGGGCCAGGGGCCGGGGCCACTTGACCTGCTAGAGGACAGGTGGACACACAGGCGGGGCTC